CATCACTGGCTCAGCAGGCAGCGGGATGAATTGAGCAGTACAGAGAAAGTCTGTTCTGCTCTCTCACGTTCACCTCAGGAACAATTTAGGCAGGCAATGGATTGGCTTCTGCTTCCTCCAACAGAACAAGAGGACTTAGTTGGTGCTCAGGAACGTCAGTCAGGAGAGCCCATCCACATCCCATTCCATCACACTGAAGGCCTCATACACCTTCAACTCTGCGTTGCTCAGTTTTGACAGCAGCTTTCCCCCAGGGCACATGCAGAGGGCAGTGACTGTCATCAGCCTGCAAGGGCAGTCTCCATTGGAATAATGGCAGACTGATTTAATACATAGCTTTCATTCCTGTTGGGAAGGCTGTCTTCTTTTTACTACGATAATGTAACAAGGTCATTAAATTCTTCTTTTTGCTTAGCCACTATAATTCAGGAATTGTTTGATATAGTGATGTTCCTTTGGATTCCAGATATGTACTCAACTTACTCGCAGAATAACATTAGGTGGCAGATGCTGTAAATCTGGGGGATGGAACTGTAACCTCAAACACCTGGCGAGCCCAAGGGGAGCACCATGAAGACTGTAAGTGGCCCTTGGTCTCCATGTGAGAGTTCCACTGCTTCTGAAGGTTGCTGGTGAGTACCAGAGACCACTGTTGCATTTATATGCTGCACTCGTGAGCATCTTTAAAGGAGCAGTCAGCAGTTGTAACTGCTGTATCATCAGCTGATCTGCTGATAAGGCAACAACAAATGTCTTGGCATTGGCAGGCTCGCACTCATCTCAGGATGTTCTCTTCCTCTTTTCAGATGATTGCTATAATCCAGCTGCCCCTCTGTAAGCACTGCAGCACTTGCTACACTGAGGAATGCCCTGACTTTGTAGCAACTAAATCTTATCAAAAAAGAGAGGGAAGGCTTACCATTTGCACTGATGCACACATCAAGAGTAACATTGCTTCATCTTGTACTATTGCAGCAGGAGGAAGGAAGTAAAGAGTAAGGAGGTCATAGCTGAGTTTGTTCCCCAGCTGGTGGCCAGATCACACGAAGAAGCGTGAAAGTGTGTGTGTGCGCCTGTGTATAGCAACCCTGTTTTGCAAGGATACTCCTCTTCTCCCTCCCTTCCTTCTGTGTAAATATTGCATGCCACTTTGCCTGGGCTTCTCTACTTGGAAATATGTGTAATCTAGAAGATTTGGAAACATTGCAGGAGTACAAGGCCATTGAAACTTCAGCTCTTGTCTTTTCTAGTCAGATGTCCATGTCAATATGGGAATTCATGCCTAATGTTGCTCTTGAGGGGTGGCAGAAGCCCTTTTTAGTACTTGGGATTCTGGTTTCTGCTGTCATGTTTCCCTCTGCACCAAAATGTTTTCTCTACTCCCCTTATTTTTCTACCTTTTTGTCCCTCCAATATTGTTTGCTTTGGGTTTTTGTTTCCAGTTCTGCAGTAGCCAGATGGGAGAGATACATGTCCTGACTGATTTTTTTTTTCCTTTTTTTTTTTTTTTAAATTTATTTTCTTTTACTTTGTTTTGGCTGACATTTTTTACTGTGAATGTATTTCCCCCTCCTTTTCTCTTCCCCCCTCATCTTTGTGCTTATCTTCTAGTGTCTCTCACCTCTGTTACCTTATGTGCCCCTTCTAGGCTGGCTCCCCTGTACACATCCATCCATCCATCCATCAGGGCCTGGGTTACAAATGCTTATCCCCACAGGCAAGCACTTACTTGCAGCAATACCTGACCAGCTACGGTCAGCTAACAGGACTGAATGATTATGTTTGCTTCTGCCACCCAGGTCCATGAAGTGCTCCTCCAGCTCTATCTGGCAGGCACCTGTCGGGTATGTGCCCCTTTCCTGGTTATCTCCACCACTTGTTTTTTTGAGAGCCTGGCAGAGGTGAACTGCTGTCCTGGTGTGTAATTTAGTATGAACCTTGAGGAGAACGAGTCAGGCTTCGACTCAGTGCAGCAGAAAGTTTGCAAGTCTGTAATAAATTCATGTAACAACTAACTCCATCTGATGCTGTTTCTTATTTGATTGCCATAGATCTGTCATACATCATCAGATCTAGCAAGTGCAATTTATAATATATTTTCTAATATATATGTATACCTATGGGACCAGCCTGCTGTGAATGGTAAGGATCAATCTCAGTAAACAGTTCATATCCTAATTATAGCTGAGATGTGAGTTTACATTTTTGATCCTGTATCTGGAGACATTTAATAGGTTTCCTTTCTTGGTACAGCTGTGCACTTTCAGGAAGAAAATGGTTGGCTGTTTATGCACACAAATAGTGGGATTCTAACTTCAAAAGTATTTATGTTTGGATTTCTAGCCAGAAAGGGATTTTTTTGGTCACATTAAAGGTTTAAATGTGTATTGGAAAGCAGGTAGCCTGAATATATGTATAGAGTGATACAGCCAGTGAAGACAGATCACTTGTACTGACCCTGACAGTGGCACTTTATCTCTGTTTTAAATACTGGCTAACAAGTTTAGCTAGTGCATTTTATCTATGTGGCGTTGGTTGTGTGTGGAGCATGGTCAGCATCTGAGGAGGATTGCTGTTGGACTGTCCTGGGCAGTTATCAGAATTGAACAGAGACAGGATGTGAAAGAATCGGATGCTAAAATGATTGTTTATGCACGTGAAATGCTGTCTTTCTTGGTAGGAGGCTTCAGGCCCTATAAACTACTGGGATATAGTCCAGCTATAGGGCCAGCGAGGTTCATGTTATCAGCAAGAAAATGAATTTTAAATGGTAATTCTGCGATCTGCTAGTTGCTTCTCATTTTCATCAAGTGTAATTTCATCAGCAAAGCATCACAGCTGCCTCTGAGTAAAACACAGTAAACAGCTTGAACAGCTCCTCAGGACAGGAAGTAAACCAAAAAATATCTTTCAATTAAAATAATGCAAGTCCATTGTGGAGACTGAATCTAATGAAGCCAGTGGAAATTTGGTCAGGTTTCAGGCCCAGATAAGTCTGGCTAAGTGCCATTTTTGAGAATGATTTATGCCATTGTTATCTGAATCTAATTGCATATGGAAAATTTGGCCTTCTTCCGATTGCTAAGTACTTTCTTTAGAAGCGATCTGCCCACGTAAGTGACTCAGGTTTGCAGTGCTGGATGGAGCTGTGCTGAGATGCCTTTAAAGACTTGCTGAAAGTCTGCATGTCTGTGAAGGTTTACAGAAACCACATTGCATGAGTGTAACATGTGCTTGTTGCCACAGGAAAGTCTGAACAAACAACTGCTTGTTGTGTTGTGTCCTCGTTCTGCCAGGAAGGTTAGTCCTCTGCTATCTTACAAGCCCACAAATGAAGCACAAATAATAACAAAGGACACTTTCTGCCTAATGCAATAAACTTCTCGTAAGGTAGAGAGGAAGTGGGTTGTGAAGACCTGCCTTGTTTAGAAAGAGGTAAATGCCAAAATATTCAGCAAGATTCTTTTTCATCTATTTTTCCATCTACTGGTAGTGAACTGTCATTTGGAACAAGACTGGTCACTTTATCAGGTAAAACTAGCTGACCTAAATCACATTTCTTTACTTGCAGTGTTTGCATTTATATACAGGTAGTAAATGGTTTCATTTCTTATTTGGTGAATAGTCAAATACTAGTTCGTTATTTTGATGTTGCTCTTTATTTGCCCTTAAAAGATACATTAATAAATTACAAGCACCTGAAAATGGCAGAAGTAGCAAGACATAAGCCCACAAGTACAATACAACACAATCTAACTAGGTATGAAAGAATGTTCCTGGCAAAAGCTGAAAGTGTTGTAAATAAAACTTCGGGAATTAGCTAGTGACCAGAGAACAGCATATATGGGAGAGCCTCACTCTGTGGTGTCATTTGTCCTGTTGTTTTTCAGGAGATATCTCAGGCTTGTGAGCAGTGTCTTCCCTTCGCATCAGTTATGTCCTGCTCACCAAGGCAAGTTCCTATCTTGCAAAGCACCTCAAAACATCACAGAGTGCAGGACATGCTCCTCATTTTTAGTACCTATGAATTTAATGATTGTACCCAGAGGAACGCTGCAGGTTTGCCAAACTGAGAAGGCACAAACAACCAAATTGCAGTTTTCAAAAGTAACTGGGCAATTCCTCTTGGATTTGCACTCTGTCACACGGAGTCTGTGAAAATGACACTCAGAAAATGAGAGCAATGGCTTGAAGCTGTCCTAAGTTCTGTTGCAAATGTGGTAGCTGCAGTTTGCAAGATGGGAATTGTTGGCTGTATAGTTTTCTTTCTACATTCAAAGCTATCACCTGGTGTAACTAAAGTAAGATACACGTTGTCTGTCTGTCTAGCTTTTTCCCTACCCCTCCCAAAATAGTAGGGTTACTTAGGTGGACTCCTGCCTGCTCAGAAGTCATGGGGAGATTATTAGATTTAGGAAAACTATTTAATTAAACTTAGATAGCCCAAAACCTCAAACACCTCAGGGATTAATATAAAAGTAGTTATATAGTAACTGTAGAGTCTGATGAGTAGCAGCAGCAGCAGCCATGCAGCCAGAATACGTGCAGAGAAATTAGTCAACAGCTGTTATTATTCACACCTCAAAGGAGATACGAGAGAGACTTTCTTTTCCTTACTTTTTTTCTTCATTTCCTTCACAAAGAAATCAGTGTCTGACTCCCTGTGTCTGATTCCCTATGCAGTTACGGGGTTGGAACCTCAGCCCTGTAGATCAGTGTGTCATCAAGGGGTCATGACAGGTTATGTCAATGAAACATTTGCTACTGTGCCTGTATATTCGTTTTACTGAAGGGACATTAATAAACAGTTGCTGATTTTACATGTCAAAAACATGTTATAGACATTATCAAGTTAATTGTTTCATTAAGAGGTCTGGGAATAGCTGGTTTAAAAATCAATTGACTGTAATGCTTCCAGCTGGAATTTCCAAAAGAGCATAGGGGATTTCAACCTGCAAATCACACTGAGATTCAGGGACAGACTTTGATTTCTGAATTCCTGAGGGTCCTTCAGAAATCCCAACCTCAGGAGTTCATAGAGGGAAAAGTAGTCAGCAATGGAAGAGGCCAATAAGGATTATATGTTAATAGGAAAGCCATACTATTAAGTTTATCAGAAGGTGTGAGTGTAGTCAAGAACTTTAGTTTCTCTGGGCAGCTGCCAGTCCAAACAGACTTTGCCTTTCATCTTTTAGCATATGGGCTTGTGCTTCTAAGAACGTCTTCCTGCCAAGTGTGCACGCACAGGAGCCATAAGGAGTTTCCACTGGAACCAGAACCTGAGGGGGATGAACACAGAGAAGTCATTTCTGAGACAGGGACGTGCTTGCACCATCACAGCAGAAACTACAGCTGTTCACCTGCATGACATAAAATCATGCCCAGGCCCTTTCCTTCTGTTACAAACATCAATGGTAGATGTTGTTATCTTAAGTGAAAGTGGATCCATCATGTCCACCTGAAAGAGGGCAAGGGTAGGATAGTGTGGCAGCAGAATCACAAGACTTAGCGAGGGAGACTAGAGCATAAACAGACTATAAACCACTGACACAAAATGGAATAACCCAGTTTCTCTCTGTCACGCAAGGATAACGTAACAGACTTTCAGCTGGGCATGGCTGTCTGCTAGAGCAGCTGTGGAGGGAGGAGCAAATGTATCTCATCCTCTGCATCTCTGACCCTCTGCCTGATCACAGGCTGATCACAGGCTGAAATGACCCTCTGCCTGATCACAAGTCTGTTTTATACCTTGTCCACTGTTGGACCAATCTGCTTTGGTTCCTAATGGTTACAGAAACATCCCTTTCCTGCTCCTGTAGAATGCTTCTCTCAGGTCTTCTGTCACCTGGAGTCAGCCTATGGCCTAGCTAACCTCTTTGTAACCCCACTGCAGGAAGGATGTTCCCTGGCCCCAGTGGTGCTGCCAGTGGAGCAGGAAGAGCCATAGTGGGCTGCCTTTTCACACTATCTGGCTATGTGGAAGGATGCCATGATGCTTGGTTAAAACTGCGCAGGTTGACATTATAACCAAAAGTCGAAACACTGATGAAAACAGGAATGATTCAGAGGGTCGTCTCTGTTACAAATCCCTTTGATATCCAAAACATTCCACTGTATTCCTTTAGCTTTTCTCAACAACACAAGGAGGCAATTATCTTTCTCCTGTAATCAGTGTAAATCTCTTTCAGAGGTAAGGTGGAGCTTTCACTGGGCTGGGAGAGAAAGTTTGCTCCTTTTAACCCTATTCTATGCAGAACTGCTGCTATGCTTTAAGGCTGAGTATTTTAAGGCTGAGTCCAGGCAAGTTGTGCTTGGAGCATTTACTTACTTCTTTGTCATTGGTCAAACATAGATTCTTCATGTCTACAACATTATAAAAAGTGTTGTTCAAGACGACTTCTATGACCTGTACCTGAAACCAAGACAATGGATGAGACAATGAATTAGGACACCTTTTTAGCCAATGGCCTGCCAATCTTTTCAGTCACTGCAAAGAAAAGCAATGCAAACACTCCTTCCCACCCCATATACAGTTGATCTAATGCGATCTATTGAACGTGTAAACAATGTTGTAGCACCCCTTTCACTTTTACTGATGTCCTGCCAAGCACTGAGTGATATGTTCTCTCCCATTGTGTTCACAGCTAGGGAGCAGCACGTGAACTTCTCAGTGTGTTCATAGTTTTTTCAGACCATCCAGTTGTACCACCAAACAATTTCCAGTCTTATTTAGAAATGTCAGAGGAAATAATAGGCTCATTTTGGTCTTCTCAGTGGTCTGATTAATATTCACTGTTAAAGTAAAACATCAGCAGGAGGAATGAAGATACCTGTGGTACTTTGGAAAGGACGTGCATCTGGATGGAGTTGACAGTTTTCTGGTAAGAGGGTGAATATTCCCCACAGTCAGGTGGCCCAGCAAATGCTTCAAGGATACATTCACGGATTTTGTTCCTAGAGGTAAGAGAGGTTCTTACAAAACCTTGTATAGGCTGTCTCTGTTTAGATCCATAATGCTTTACTGTGGGCTTGTTATTGTTGTTGGGTTTTTAAGATTTATTTTCTCTGTCTGTTCTGATGAATACGTAGCACATGGGATTTTATGGAAGAACAATTTCTTTGTCCTGTCACCTCCTAATCCCCCCGTCCCCCTCCCCCAGCTCTATAGTTCACAAATAGGTGTTTTGCTAAAAGTTGGTTTTTCTCCTGAAGTGTTCTGTACTGAACACTGAACTGCCCATTTAAATGCTGTCTGTTGATGCACCATCAAAGAGAGGAGTACCCCCAAGGGGTGCCTCTCTCCTCTTGTAACAAGTGATAACACTGCCACCGAGATCTGCGGCAGTGGCTGGTGCACAGCAATTGCAGTTCTGGTCCTTACAACTGCTGTGATGTATAGAGGGACTTTGGGATCATAGATTAGGTAATAAATATTATTTGATACGATGTATACCATGTGCAATCAAAGTCAAAATCCTTGCATTCGCCATATGACCATTTGCAGAAGAGCTCTCCACATAAAATCCTGTCATTCCTTTCAGGAAGTGTGGTGTGTTCATTCTTATAGAAGCCTTCAAATCCAGACTGTGTTGTCTTCATCAGTTTCAGATCTTTAATTCCAGCAAAAACAATCAGAGGACCTGTGATCCAAAACCATGAGACAATATGAGCCCCTTTTCAGGCAGTGAGAAGGAAACCTCTGTGTGCATACGTGCAGTGAGAGCTGCAGAGCCATGAAGCTGTCTCTCCAGGACTCGCTCGTCTGCTCCTCTTGCAAGCCTAACTACTTTTAAAAATTACTTTCTGCACACTAATATTAGCAGAGAGGTAAGAAACAAGACAGAAACTACTGCAGTTGGAGCTCAATCTAGAAAACAGAGAATCCCTGACCTGCAATCAAGGAGAGCTGAGAACACCCTCTTATCTTACCTCCTTGACATGCTTTGGGTTGGCTCTTACTGATGTCAGTTCGGGGACTACTAATTGCTCTGAAGGGAAAGGAAATAGGCTACTAGTGCTACTGTGTACAGGAGAGATGTGGTGAGCCTTTTCTAACAGCACAGTCAAGTGTAGAAACTCCCAGTACAAAGACGTGGAGCCTCCATCAGAAATTCGCTTTACATGCCCATCCTGTTGTGAGTTTTGCATCTGTGAGAACGAGAGGGCAAGGAGCCAATGCAAATCCTGCCGTTCAGCTAATTAGCAGGAGCTGGCACCTATACAGATGCCACCCACAGGTTCAAACTGACAGTGTTTTTGCTTGTAGCCACTATTTATAAAACACACTGTTGTGGATCACTGCTGCATGGGTGGAGCATCATCTTCTAAAAACCAAACCGCTAAAAAGTTGTGTCCTGAACTTTTTCTTCTGACAAACCTTTTGGATGGCAGCTAAACAGTTTCAAGGGGTCAGTAATTTAGAGGACACCAAACTGATAGCTGAAAATTTCACTGACCAGAGCTGCCAAATAAAAGCAGATTCAGAAAAGAGAGACTTTATGGCATGCAGGCGTGTTCAGAGCCTGTACAGATAGCCAGTGGCTGAAGCTCAGGCTGCTGTTTCTGTGCTGCTCTTGGTGCTCGTATTACCTAGTTAAAAATGAATCCTTGAATACATGTGGCGCACAGTAATCCTGCCTTGGGCTAGAAAGACTGGCAGACTTGGTCTTTAAACTGTGTTTTTGCAGGGATTTATGCTGGAAATAATTCCACTGTGACTGATACTTCTAAATGACATGATTGTTTAGAGGTTTTGGGTTTTTTTTAAACTGCTCTGTCCTGGACATTATCAAAACTGCATTTCATGTGTTTTTTCTCTTGTTTTTTAATGAGTCCAAGGAGGTATATCTATAATTTTGGCTACACCCCCCTGCTATTTACTAAAGCTTTAATAAAATCTAAAGAAGAGACTTGTCCTTGGACAGGATATTCTGGGGTTTGTTCAGATCTTGATGAATTCATTGCTTGGGTATAAGATTGTAATGTAAAGGTATTAATGCAGTGTAGATACTATTGGTGAACCTGGAGACGTATTTATCTCATATTCAAATCCGTGGCCTTGTTAGAAGCAGCTCCTTACGATGAATGATATACTGAAAGGCTGGGTGGCTGTGTAGCAATCACCCAAAAACTTGCACTGAAGAATATAATGCATAGGGAAAGTTTTCAAGGTGAGCAGCTCGTGCTGTGCTTTCAGCATTTTTTGTGCTTGTGGTGTCTTCAGTTGCCAAATGTTGGCTCTGTTAAGTTACTTATGATGTTTTCAGTTTCTAAAAAACTCCGAGCCTTTTATCAGCCGATATAATGGTAAAAAAAATAAGCCTACAATTCTATTAAGTCTCACTGGGTTTCTTTTAATGATGAGAAAAATGTTAAAAGAGGATTAACTGAGAAATAAATTTCTTTGCCTGGCTGATAGGTGCATAGGAGGATGCTAAATATAGGGAAGGTTCTCTTATGAGAAAAATAAAAGAGATTTGAAATCTTCTCTTTGGTTATTGTTCACCTAGGCAGGGAATCCTAAAGAAACAGCTAGAGGGCTACATGAAGGGAAGGCTAAGAAGGAAAGGCAGTTTCTTCAGTAAGCCTTAAAGGATTTTTTTTGTTTGCATACAACCTGAAATTGCAGAATTTCATGCTGAATTTTCAAGCTGATGAAAAATTTAGTTCAATCTGTACATTGAGAGCAGCAGCTTTTCAGGAAAGCATAAACGCTTTTTCTTTATTTTTTTAATTCAGCTTTTTTCCTTAACATTTTCCCAAAACCAATGTTAATACTATTGAGGCTGCCAAAAATACAGCAGTAGTTAACATTAATAGCATTAGGCCAAGAGGCACAGGAGACATGTACGGGTCCCCTCTTTCAGTAGGAACACAGGGACAGTGCTCAAATGTGCCTTTCAGGACTTGTGTCTTGTCTGACAGTGAAACTGGTCTTGCCACTGGTCCTAAAACTGACACATTAGGAAAACAGGGAGAGAGCATAGGATGGGAAATAGTTCTAAGTTACATTAGGGCAGTAATAGATACCAAACTAACAACTAAATCCTCTAAACCCACTGTGTGAAATGATGCAGTGGCCTTAGGTCATTTCCCAGTAGTCTGAAAGGTGTGTTAAATGAAACACCAACACAGTGAGATTGAATTTATGTTCTTATTGTGAGTCATAGCAAGAAGAGATAATTTTTACACTTCCTTTGGAATGCCAGTTTATGGACAGGTAGTTGAGCTCAAAAACCTGTGTCTTTTAAGTATCATAAAACAATTAGTGAAGCCAAACAGTGCTTTGTTTATGCACAGCATGCAAAAATACTATGCACACTCTGCAGTAATTTCATGTGAAGAATTGTTTGCATGTAGTCCTGAGTGCTCACCATTTTCATGCCAGCCTGGTTTGCAGCAATGAAACTGCAGCTTGCTTAGAAATAAAACCAAGGCATGTCGGCAGGGTTTTGAAAATAACTGCAAACTAGGCAATCGACCTGCAGCAGTGGGGTTTCATGGTACATCATCTGTAGGATGATGATAACAGTGAGACTGCGGAATATAGTATAATGTAAAAAAGTAAGCAGACTGTTCTCAGGATGCTATTAAACCCTGTGACAGTGTATAGCAGTTCAGCTGGGTATGCTGTTGTGCATTATACGTTTAGGATATATACACAAATGTGAGCTACATTAGCTCTTCAGCCATGTCTCAGAGATCAGGACTGCCAAGTTAGACTATAAAAGAATTTTTTGTATTAGACCTCTGGAGTGGTTTAGTGTGCTGTAAGCCCTGTAACACATTTAGCTATCTCTAAAACATCTTCATCTCTCATTGGCAGAAATATTTACAGTAGGAGAAGCTGCAAATTGTTTTCTCACCATTTCGGCACTGCTCAGCTTCACAAAAGCGGATCCCATTAGGAACACATATGAATGAGTGGATGTGGGGAACGCCATTCTGCAATTTAGAGCAGACATGTAAGTAAAAGTGCAGTAAATACTATCTTAGTTCTTGAAAACAAGAACTAAGAGAGTGATGAATGGCTTCAGAATAACAAACGGAATGTATCAGTATTTTAGATACCTCATGTAGACGTTGCCATGGTACTTCTTGAACGTAGGTTTTGACGTACGCCACTTGGCAAAATGTTGTCATGAAGTGTTGGCAGATATCTATAGCAAATTGTTCTAAAGTTGCGATCTAAGACAGCAAACAGTATTATTAGAAAGAAGCAATTGCCTCATGTACGAGAGTAGATTGTTCTCATTGTTGCGAATATTTGGGAAAGATCAGTGGTGTTAAAAATACAGATTTCTCTCATTTCTGGTGTTGCACACTGTGCCTAGTCTTTGATCAGCTTGCCGCATGCACTGCAAATAACAGCTAGATTCATATCAAAAGTCTCCCATTCTGTGGTATAGTGAGCTGCAGTCCTTGGACTGAGAGGAACTGCTAGAGAAGCTTTATGCTTATTCTGATTAAGCTTTGCAGGCTAAAGATGGGATTTCATTACTGAGACAGACATTTTACACTACGGATTGTCATTATGATAGATACAATTGAGGGAGGTAAGAACACAGTTAACAAAATTAAGAGGAGTCTCACATAGTTTGAGACCTGTTTAAAATGCTATATAGGAATAATGCAGTATTACACGCTATTAAATTTAAAAAGATGGATCCTCCATGACAAATCTACAAAAAGTCCTGCTAGTTCTGTGAGAAAATAAAAGACTTTGGAAGAGTAAGGAGGAGTCCACAGGCTAAAGACTGGGGGAGGAAAAATTTTCGCCCAAATCACTGAAGGTCACTAGTGGTGATCTGACATGCGGATGGCAGGGAGATTATTTTGATGTATTTTGAAAATGAAAGGTTACTATAACAAACATTCCCAAATGAAGTCATAAGAAAGAACAAGGCTACTTAAAAAATAAAAATTACCCCATTTTTCTTGGCCAACACAAGGACTATATTCTTTATGGTGTCTGTAGGTATCACAGCAGAGTTGTTTCCATCCAGGTACTCATGACAAGAAGTCAGCCGGAGATGTGTGCACACTTCCACTTCTTTAACAAAGTGCTTCTTTCCTTCTCTATGGAGACGAAGGAATTTAATTGTGTTCTTGCCATATTCGCAGTTGAGGACTTCTACATCCTTGATCTGCAGAAAAAAATACATCACAGTTGTAATGGAACTCAGTGGAAGCCTGAGTTATACTCAGTCAATGAAACAAACAATGTTTATGGCCTTTATTTCTGGTTACCTGTGATAATGAAAATATTTCCATTATAAATTGCAAAGTCCTGATGGGAATCAAAACCGTTTCTGAAAGCTATTATTATGTTAGTGGCAGCTGTGATGGAGATTTAAAATTTTACAGGGGACAGATCATGCACCATGAGTAACAGTAAACTAGTCTGTCTTGTTCATCATCTTTGCGTTAGTCCAGACTCTATAGACTTTCACTGGGTCTCCTCTCCAACATCTCTTTCTGAACCCACGTGTCCCAGCGCGCTCAGTCACTGCAGGTGCAGCCATGCAGAGGGCAGGCAGTGTTCACACCTGCAACCCCACAGGCACTCTGCCAGGCCAAGGCTGCACCTCTACGTACATTTCCTGATGTTCCCTGGCACCAAGAACAGTCACCACCTCCGGCTCCCAGCTCTCCCAGCCGCTCTCAGGCTCTGCATGTGCCATGTGCTCAGCCCTCCCTGTTTTCATGCAGAAGCTGGCAAAGTTTGGTCCAGGTCCTGCACGGCAGAGCAGGCAGAGCCCAGCAGGCGCTCCATGTCCCCAGGGCTGCACCCATCACGCATGCAGAAGTGCAGGGACTTGGTGCTCTGAGGCTGGAAGCAGTGAGTACCAAGGCAGCTCTTCTGTGAGGGGTGGAGAGGTAGCCAGGTGTAAGTCCCAAACACAAAATGGAAGCAGCTGTCACGTGCTTGGAATGTTGTGTGTTTTATTACCCCCTCTGTGCACGCTGCGATTCCTGAGAGCAAGAAGAAAAGACAGGCTGAGCTCAGCTAGTTGAAAGTGTTTCCTCACGACACAGTTCTGATCTACAAAAGGGATCAGAAGCGAGTCTGAGCAGCGAAATTCAGGTCTTGATCAGCATCTCAAAAATCCTGGCTTTCTGAGATCGCTGGTTATATTTGTGCTAAGCCCTATTCAATTTTATCCTGCTGCTGTCAAACACCCCCCATTTACACATCTGTTACAATGTTGGAGAGGTTAGACTAGAAAGGAAATAAAATACTGCAAAGGTGGTGAGAATTTCTGATGTGCTAAAATATCCAGAACTTGCTGCACTAGATTTTCCCTAAGGCTGAAATATCCTATACTTGGTATCAATATCTTTTAATGTAAATCATCACCTTTTAGTGTAAGCATAATGAGGAGGGAGAAAGAATATTTTACATAACAAAATACAAACTGAAGCTTTTTATGTGTGAGTTTCTAAAAGCTTATCAGATGTAAAATTGCTCAATTCAAATATGTTTGTTCCCAAGAGACACGCTAATGCACTTAAAAGATGGTTAAGAAACCGTATTAACTAACTGTAAGTAAATTGCTGTGGCTCAGAGTATTTCTCTGCCTGTCAATCCCTGCGGGCTCAGCCCCCACGGGCAGACGAAGGCCCCCAGAGCTGGGCAGAGCTCAGCACTTCACCAGAAACCATCTTTGCAGAAGGGTGCAAAGGCTGCGCTGGGTACAAGGGCTGGTGCAGTAGCAGTGAGATGCTTTTGTTTCGCTTGTCTGAACACAGAGATCTTTTCAGATCGTTGTAAAAAATTCATACTTCAGTCTTGCAGCACTAAGAAGAAAAGAAAAAGGGTTTCCCTATTTGCAGCTTTTTTTTTTTTCTTAAAGCAGAGTACCGTAAGTATTCTAAATAGTCCGAACAGCACCTCCTAAAATACAGTGGAAGTTTTCTCAAAAACATAACTTGACAACCCTTATTCTGCCATTTTGTTGCTCATGAACAGTTTCCAGTGGCTCCCAGGAGTCTTGGCCCTGCTGCCGGGACCTGGAAGCCCAACTTCCAGGCTGGCTCTGCCATTCTAGGGTGTGCTCACTGCATTGCACAGCAGCAGCTCACAGTTTATGCAACACAACTTCTCCTTTTAGAGCCTACCCAGTGCTCGCCCTGTGCAGCCGAGAAACCAAAATGCCCGCGAGATCTGCATGGTGTCACCCCGCTTTGCTACTGCTTCTCTCCTCCTTGCCCCTGGGGGCAGCTGAGATCTCCTGCAGGAATGAAAATGGGGAGGCAGTTGATTGGTAAGTAAATACTGTGCAGGGGAGAAACACTGGGTGAGTAAACAACACTTGAGATTAAAGCACTTGGAGTAGGTGGATCACTGGGAAGTAATGCATAGCAATCACTGATCTAATCCTGTTTGCCTGTGAGTGGTAGCTGAATTTTGAATTTGGAAAACCTAGGATAAGTTATTGAAATGTAATTTTGTTTCACTGAACCAACCACCATACAGCGTTATGACTAACTGCAGAGTAATCACTACTTTACACAGTGTTCATGTCTCATCAGCAAAGGGAGTGTAACCTCCGTGCGGGTGCCAAGGCTGCACTCGCTGGCGGCAGCTGCGCACGTGTGTCTCACCCTTAGCCGTGCTGCTCCTACATGAAGAGCAGTGTGGTAGGACACGTCCCCTTGCTGCCATTGCTGAGCCACCCTAGGAGGGATGCGAGGTGGGGACAGCAATGCGGGAAAGCACTGGCTGCGCCCTGTGGTGGGAGCAGAGGTCGTTCCCTGCCGCCAGAGCCGCTGGCTCGTTGGAGTTGGTACTGTCCCACTGCCAGCAGCAAGCCTGAGTTTGAGTATTAAATGGTTAATTGGATTAATGTGCTTTGAAGATGAAAGACACAAAGTATAATTACATGATATCCAGCCCAGGTTTAAAAAGTGAAATAAGGGCTCTTGAAAAAAGAGCACAGAAGCCTCCCAAAGATAAATATCAACCAATGTCAAAAAGAAGTGTCTTTCTCATGGAACAATGATTAGTTTGGATACAAGTAGGTGCTATTCTCACACTCCCGTTCCCTTGCGCTGACTGCTAACTGCAGGGAAGGGAGGAGCTCCTCCTGCCACAGCCAGGCTACTCAAGCAGGAGCATGAAGCTGGCATTGTTTTGTATTAGCGGAGCATCAAACGTATGAGGGTCTGGTCTATCCCTCTGACTTGTCACCCTTGCCAAGGCCCTTCTGGATAGTGTGATTTTTCAGGACTCAAACTCTTAGTTGGTGCAGCTACCCAACGCCTTAAAGGTACGAGAGATTTCCTTTCTCCGCAAACTGTAATTAATCCTTGCAGAATGAGTCTGTTTGTGCTGAAGTTAAAAAAACCCCAAACAAACCCAGACCAAAACACAAACAAACAAAAAACCCAAACCCCCACCCCCACCCCCCCCATTTACCATCCATTTCTTAAACACAATTTTTGTATCCAAATTCTCTGAGAAATTCTTTGAAAACTGTGTCCAGGAGTAATTCACTGTGTCTCTGTGTAAACACCAGCAATGTGGGATTCATTCCGAATGGGAACTGGGGGATCTGCCCAGGCAAAATCATGTTCCCTTCTGACAAATTTAGCAGGAAGAATGGTGGATTTCCTTTCCAATGTGCTATGAACAAATGAAAGAGAAACTTGCCTGTCTGCAGTGGTCGTCCTAGTTTATTGACAAGAAATAGTCAGCTTTTGCCTGACTGGATTTGGTTGCTATGAAGCTGATAGTAGAAGCAGAACTGAAACTGCTAAAAAATGCTTCCTCTTAACCAAAAGATGTCAATGCTCTTTCAAACAAACATGGCATTGCAGGTTTTATATTCAGTTAGCAAGAGCTTTATTTGAATTCCTACTATCTGGTGGTTTCATCCTGCACCATTCCATAATTACTTGTTATTAGTATTCACGCACCCTTTCATTTGCCACTAAACCAGAGGAATCACTTGCCCTATCTGACCTGGTCCCATCTACACTCCCCAGCTGTGCCTGCACTTCCTATCCACGCATGGTGCTGGGGCTGGCAAAAGTCTCCCCCATGTTTTCATTCCTCTCAGGAGCTCATCCCACCGCCTTCACTGCACCTCATGCAGGGGCTACCAGAGCAAATGGCCGTAAGCTCAGCCCTCTAAGGAGCGCGCAGAGTCGTTCCTTTATTCATCCAAACTCACTGTGTTCTGTGGGAAGCTTTCCATGCAAATTAAAGCCAAAACTGTGCTTTCTGAGAAATGCTGAGTCAAGAATGGAAGCCACACATGCCTGTTGTTTGGGCTTTTTGGGGGAAAAGGGATGGAGAGAAGTAGTAAAGATGTGATTAGAAATGAAGATGTGATTATTTGGAGCAAGTTAGTGTTCAGTCACAAGGAAACAATGTGACAATGCAAATTGGGTACAAGCGGATTTGCCGCCTTCTGGTTCTCATGAAAATAACTTTCACTGTGCTCCTACCACTGCCTAAGCTCTTGAGAAACTTCCTGTGCACAAATAGCAGTGAAGACTTTTATACAACTTCTATTGCTAACACACTCAGCTGGCTTTCGGGAAAGGGCCAAAACATGTACCCACTGGGAGCTGGCAAGCAATTTGCTGATAGCTCGAGCACTAGCATTTCCATAAGCATACCTGCTAATGCAGATTTGCCAGGTGCAAGGCTGTAAACACCCAAGAACATAAATTTTCCAATACATTTCAAAGCAGTTTGGAAAGGCTTCAGATACTAATTCCTGGATCAGCTCATACTATTGTAGTTACTGCTGTTCCTCTCCTTTCCGAATCTTCATTTCAGATAAAGGGGATTGTTGTGAATCCTTGTGCGTGTAAAGTTCTCCCCAGCCTTGCTATCCAAATAATTTTCTTCTCTTCGGTCTGTCATCAGCAACAATTCCTCCTGAGATATTTAAGGAACATCACTCAGTCACTGGCAACGCAGGTGGATTACCAGGATCACCAGTGGTGTGTTCTTGCCTGTACATTTCCCACTGATTCAGTGTTCCTCTAGCAACATGCTTTCCTGCCACTTCTTACCTGCTTTCAGAGCTGCCTTTCTGGACCAACTCAAGACTGTAAATACACTGGGAAAGGCTTACTCCTCCTGCTATACTTGAAAGGTTATGCACAGTCAGTCTGCATTTTTGGTAAA